TCTGAGTATCAGGTACGCGACCCTCGTCGACACACTCCCAATCTTTACAACGTTGTTGACGAGAAACTTGTGGACGATAAATCCGACACCTCCTTGGGACAGATGGTCGCCCTCCCGGTGATAGAACAAGTTGCCGGATTCGAGAATCACCGTGTCCTCCCCCTCTCTTCGGACCTCGGATAATCCTATAATACTCCAGCGCAACTTGTCTATCTCTTCTTCCAGCTCCAGGATCTTCTCGTCAGTCCTCAGTGTGCGTGAGTTAAATGTTGCCAGGTCGAGTCGTTGTAGGTGGCAACCGAACCTCCACCGGAGATTCTTAGCACCCCCTGCCCCGCCGTTACCATGGTCGCCACCGTAGCCAGGAATAGCGGGGCCGCCGGGGACTGGGGGCCGTCTATTTGTGTAATTGTTCATGGGGGGTATATTGCCATAGTTGCCACGCTTGGCGAGCGGGTTGGCAACCGCAGTTTTTTTTTGTCATACAGTTGCTATTATCAGGAAGATGCTGCTGCCCATCTCCTTTCTGTGTCCCTCTGTCGCCTTTTACGACACCCACGGGAAGATATGGGGTAACGGATATTCTTAACCGCCACTACACGGCATTACCAACTGCAATACCAACCATTGACAACATTAAATTATTTAGGTTTCCGAAATTCGCAGTAAAGTATATTTTGCGGTACGTATACATTATACATATACACTATTTAGTAAGTTCTAACCTTAAAGTAAATCTCTTGTCCAACTTAGTGTTTCTCTTTTACTATTTAAATACAAATTATTGGTTTGTAAACCATTGGACCTACTTTGATAATATTTGTATTTAATAATTATATCTTTTGTTTTCAGCTGTAAATTATGGGCGAAATATTATAATCCTTCCCAACAGCAGTATACTACTTTAGCTTTCCAGACAAAGCTACATAATAAGCCCATAATGCTGTGTGAAAAACATTTTCATGATGGTTAATTTAATGATGCAACCAAGAAAAAGCTCTTAAGAACTGCAGTCCCATGTGATGTAAGTAAAGTGTATAATGTATATGGTAATATGGTATGTATATAGTTTTCTTTAAGGATTACTCAGATACATATTTTATATGGGGATTACTATATTCAGAAGTGGACTTTGATAGACTGTACTGAAGATGATGATGATTATTCAGATGACCATCATCTGGATCTAACATGGATGGACAGACCACATACAGTAGTTTGAATCCTGTTAATTCTTTCAACTAATTTATAATAATTGGATCGGACAAAGCATCCAAAGGATTGAAGTCTATAAAATTAGCACAAGCCTTTCCTTACATTATTAAAAGTGCAACACACTGCATATTATTTTAACAATCAAATTTTATTTTAAAACAACAACAAACCTTAAGAAAGTTCCGGCATCACAATATATGAATAATTACATTTGGTCCTAAACCTATCAAATTTAAAGGCACAACTTGTACAACACAGTAGAAATACATGCATCAAATGGTTCTCAAACAATAGATAAACACAAGATTTCTTTTCACATAGTTATTGTATTTACTATCTTATTTTGTTACTATATTAATTGTAATAGTGAGTGTATTATAGAGCAAGTTGGATGAACAAGATCCATTCATTTATTTTGTATTGGTAGGTAGAAGGGTAATGTAATGCCATGAGTAGGGACTGGTTTACTATGAAAGTAATTCCAATGAATATAATGTTAATTTAATTTTATATAATAATTTTATGATACTATAATTTATTTCAGTTTTTATTTATTTCCAGACCTACAAAGTGTATTCCGATTTTATTTTGTGGAATCACAAGCTGGTCCCTCGCAAATTATTGCTGCAAAACCACAAGCAGGATCTTCAAAAAGGACAACATTATATCCACTGAAGAACAACCACAAACATCTTCGAAAGCATAACACATAATGTCGAACCTGAAAAAAGAAAGTACTCTATATGAAAATTTTTAAAATGAAGTAAGGAATATTTTTGTAATCTAATATTTAATATGTTTTATAATTTTGACTTAAAATTATTCTATTTATAAGCTGCGTTCAATACTTAATATATTGCATAATATAATATAGAGACAAAATTTTTAGTGTCAATTCAGGGAAATAGATAGACAACCAAATATTATCAAAATAAAATTATTATTTGTGAATGTTGTACTTTGCACTTGTGTGTAGGAGCTTATTTATTAATTAACTTGTTTTTGATTAAAATATTGATATTTAGTTATTGTAGACATTCTGTGATTTGTGATTGTGCATATTATCAATTCATCCATGATTGTAAATCTTTTTTAATTTGTTTATCATTGTTTACTTAAGTAATTGAAATGTTATAATCAATATTGATTTTCTTTTCATGTTTAAACCCATCAAATGTCTTTATAGAAAGAACTAAGCTGCTGGAGAAATTTTGTTTCTTAAGTTATGTATGTTTTTTATTTTAATTTGTATTTTTGTTTTGAATAAATAAATAGAAATTTTGTAATTTTTGTTCTTTTATTTAGCGCTGGGATAGGCAACCCAAAAATACCTCAAATAAAAAAAAGACCACATTCAAATTTTCCAGCCACACGAGAAGTGCAGGAGGCTGACGATAGATGGAGCTAGTGGTTATATATCTCATTTCTTAAATTTTGTATGAAGTTGTCGTTCTTCTCCGATACGAGTAATAGTGTTCTGTGCGGTCTTCCATAACACGTATAATAAAAAGTAGCACACATGCAACTTATTATTATGTAAGTTCTTGTACATAGATTACTGTATTTATTTATGTTCTTGTACATAACCTTTGAATTTTTTACATATTTAACTTTATGTCGTCGCGTAAAGGCCGCGGCGCACGCCGCGACACATGGTGGTCGACACATGTGTGGACAGAAACGTCAAAACAAACGTCATCCTAAATCCGTAGCTACATATTTATACAATTGTAGTCAATAGCTGTCAACATCGATTTTTGAGCACGGGTGGTAATCTCTATACAAATATTCCTAGATTCCTAGCCTTATGTCTATGGCCCTCAAAAATCGATGTTGACAGCTATTGACTACAATTGTATAAATATGTAGCTACGGATTTAGGATGACGTTTGTCTAATCTAATAATATAAATATTAGTATTAGAATTAAGGCATTAGAGCTAGCTAGCTTTATTTCATATTGTTATACCCTTGCTGGGTGCATGTGCTGTAGTTTATCATACAAAACCACATGTAAATGCAATAAATAAATAAATAAAAGACAACCACTATTTCAATACACACCACAGAGACAAACTATACCTACCACCATGAAGAATTAAAATGTTAAACCAGAGTCGCTACTACATGGCTGTAAAAACACATTTACAATAAATTACATATCCACATAAAAACTGAAAATAAGATTACACTATTCAACACGTTCATGCACGCATACCATAATAGTCAACTTATAGGCCGTGGCGCATGATTACTCCATACAAAGTTTGAGGACGTCCATACTCGTATCGCCGTATCACAAACAAAATATTGCATATGACTTGTCGGTAACGTCAGTAGGCGTTGACGTTCAAGGACGCACCGGTATATTGCTAAAATTATTATCCATCAAAGGGGCAACAACGTTTAGGTACGTCTACGTTACCAGCCGTTCTGTTCCGATTTGTGGGTATTTTAGACCTTACAGATTACAAGAACGTCGTTAAACGTCAATGTCGGTACACGTTCTGCTTTCATCTCTAGACAAGATCCCTACACTATATTCAACAACGTTTAATAACGTCAACGTTGGGACACGTTCTGCTTTAATCTCTAGTCAAGATTTCTACACTATATTGAACAACGTTTAACAACGTTAACGTTGGGACACGTTCTGCTATAATCTCTAGACAAGATTTCTACACTATATTGAACAACGTTTAACAACGTCAACGTTGGGACACGTTCTGCTTTAATCTCTAGACAAGATTTCTACACTATATTGAACAACGTTAAACAAGGTCAACGTTTACAGCCGTTCTGTTACTAGTTGTCAAATATTGATACCATGATAAGAAAGCAGCGTCAATGCACGTTGACGTTCATAACTGTTGTTCCACAAATATCTAGTAGAACTTAAAGTTTTGGGAAACAACGTTTAATTACTCCAACGTTACTTGACGGTCTGATCATAAATCGACTATACGAGCAAATTATCTGTCGCTCATCGTTTCCTGACGTTGACTTTGATTTATAAAAATAAAATAATAAACAGGATTTGATATGGAATAATACTCAATAATCATCACTTTTTTGTTATATATTTTTAGAAAATCAACTATTTTTCAAAAATTACCTACATATCACATTTTGTGTCAATATCTACCCTCTTCTTGACTTAATTGAAAATAATTTAGGTGCAATTGTCCATAAATTTCTTCCAAGTTTTAGTTTAATAAAATTTACTTTTACTTCCTATCCTATGTGTGAGTAACTTTTTCAAATTTTACGCTATTATCACATATCGATCAAATAATACTATGGTAAGTTTGGTTTATCCCATAGAAGTAACGAATTATTTCTCAAAATAAACAGTTTCTCACTACTATCTTATCAATAAATTACCACTATAGCACAATAACAATCAGTCTTACACAGTTTTGGTATAACACTAGTAGCAAAAAATTATAAAAATTATAAATACTCACTTACTTTTACCTACCTACCATATGAATGAGTAACCTTTTAACATTTTACGCTACTATCACAAAATCAAATAATACTCTGGTAAGTTAGGTATTTTCTATAAAAGTAACAAATTATTTCACAAAATTAACAGTTGCCTGCATCTATCTTATCAATAGATTACCAGTATAGCACAATAATATTCAGTCTAACACAGTTAAGCAGATTTAGTATAACAATCGTAGCAATAAATTATAAAAATTCTAAATACTCATATGCATGATACAGTTATACTTATTTGATATCACTCTCATAAAAAGGAACAAAATAGGTAAAAAAGCATTATACTTCTTTGTGCCACTCTTCGAAGCAAAGAGCACACAGTGCTGGCTTTTCAGGGCAACCTTTACATCTCAGGCAAGTCTCCCTTCTCACCTTTTTTTTCGTGCACATCTTGCATTTCAAGTACTTTGATGTTTTGTTTGAACCCTCTTGCACGGGTATTTTCTCAGGCCAGTGACCATGGACTCTTGAGCTTCCGACGTCGTCGTCAATGGTACTGACTGGAAGTGGCAATAAATTAGCTCTGATTCTGTTGTCATATTTGCTGCGAGCTAAAATCACTTGCTCTGCTGTTAAATCTGCTGGAAAGTCCAACAGTCTTCGAATCAATTCCTCTCGGAAAAGCAAGAAATCACAATTGGCTTGGCAGTATTTTTTGAAAATAAAAAATGAGTTCCATACTGCGACATCCAACAAGTGGAACATCACTTTTTTATACCACCGGATTGATTTCCTTGGTGAGGAGTAATATGAGATCATTTGATCTGCTCTATCAACTCCGGACATGTGTTGATTGTATTCTGCCACTTCTGCGGGTTTAATTTTTCTTTGTTGAAATCTGTTTTGTATTTCTATAAGCCGAGGATGAACTGAAGTTGTTACCATAAGAACTGGTCGCTTGTCAACCCATTTTGAAACATAGACCTTATTTTTTCGTACCCACACATTTTGATTCTTCTTGATGTTTTTCTTAATGATGTCTTTGGGATTATCTTTTCTGTTTGAACGTAAGGTACCTGTGGTGTGAGTTTTTAAGTCAACTAGCTTTTGCGAAAGTGTTACGGAATTGTAATAATTATCCATGTATAATTGATGTCCCTTCAGCAAATATGGCCTCATGAGACGAAGGACGATCTTTTCAGATTTTTTGCCAGTTCGAGCAGTTGTGTCTTTTCCGGAGTACATCATTATATTTAAAACATAGCCATCAGAAGTTGTCAACTCGAAGAATTTGATTCCGTAACGTACTTTTTTGCTCTTTATATATTGTCTGAAGGCAAGGCGGCCTCTAAATAAAAGCAAAGATTCATCCAAACTTAACTGTTTGTATGGCTTATAGCACTCCATGAAGCTCTTGGTAATAGCATTAATAAATTTTTCAATTTTATCTTTTCCTTTTGAATCTAAATCTGATACATAAATACATCTCAAGATTTGCTCAAATCTTCGAGCGGACATCACATAGTGAAAACTTGGGTGATAATACAGTGGGTCGGAATACGTAAAATTTTTTGCGTTTTTGAGGAATTTTGATTTGACCCATAAGCAAATATAATCCAAAAAATTTCAAGATTTCTTCCCGGTTTGTGTCCCTAAAGTTATAGCTACGTGAGTTTCGAGTAGTAGGTCTTGTTGTCTCGCATAGTGCTCGCCCGTACGTATTAATACATGTTACAATATAGTCTACAATATTAGGATTAAGAATTTTATCAAATATTTCCATAACTGTCATAGCTGGGTTGACTTCAAACTGGACACCTGCTGAACTTTCATCAAACTCGAACGAAGGTATGTCTGTGTTCGTGTGTTCCAAATCATAATTTATCAGTGGAGGAGTGCTTGGTCTGCAATTGGTCGCTGGACTTATCTCGGGGAGTGTGTCAGGCACGGAGTTTCTTTCGGCGGCCTCTGGGTCCAGCACATGACAGATAGAAGGATTGCGTTGTACAAACGCTTCCCGATCCAAAGCAGATGGACTGGTAGGCGCAGAATTCGTTTCGGCAGCATCTCGTTCTGGCATAGGAGAGCCGGACAAGCCACGCTCTGCAACTACCTCCAGTGCAAGTGTGCTGGCCGGAGTTGGATATCTTACAGTAGCGTTTAGTTCTGGTGGTGCAGAAGAGCTAGGTGAGCGGCACTGCGTAGTTGCGTCCCAGTCCAGGGCAGGAAGGTTGGCTGGCGAGGGATTTTCCTCAGCAGCCTCCCGATCTGATGCAGACGAGCTAGGAGAGCGGCACTGCGTAGCTGCGTCCAGGTCCAGAGCAGGTAGGTTGGAAGGCGTGGGATTTTCCTCAGCAGCCGTTGGATCCGATACAGGAGAGCCAGGAGTGCGGCGCTGCTCAACTGCGTCCAGATCCAGGGCCGATAAGTTGGCAGGCGCGGTATTTCTTTCAGCAGCTGCTGGATCCGGTGCAGGAGAGCCAGGAGAGCAGCGCTGCGCAGTTGCGTCCAGGTACAGGGCAGATAATTTGACAGGCGCGGGATTTCCCTCAACAGCCTCCCGATTCAGTGCAGGAGAGCTAGGAGAGCGCTGCGCGCAGCTGCATCTAGGTCCAATGCAGGTAGGTTGTCAGGCGCGGGATTTCCCTCAGCAGCTGCTGGATCCGGTGCAGGAGAACCAGGAGAGTGGCGCTGCGCAGCTGCGTCTAGGTACAGCGCAGGTAGGTTGTCAGGCGCGGGATTTCTCTCAGCAGCTGCTGAATCCGGTGCAGGAGAGCCAGGATAGCGGCGCTGTGCAGCTGCATCCAGGTACAGGGCAGATACGTTGATAGGCGCGGGATTTCCCTCAACAGCCTCCCGATCCAGTGCAGGAGAGCTAGGAGAGCGGTGCTGCGCAGCTACATCCAGGTCCAAGGCAGGTAGGTTGTCATGCGCGGGATTTCCCTCAGCAGCTGCTGGATACGGTGCAGGAGAACCAGGAGAGTGGCGCTGCGCAGCTGCGTCTAGTTCCAGTGCACGTAGGTTGGCAGGCGCGGGATTAACCTCAGCAGCTGCAGCAGCATGGTCGTCTTCAGCACCTTGAATTTGTGGATTAGTATGGGAGTGACTTCCTTCGATATGTGATAAATTGAGATATTTTCTAATACTGCAGGATCGAGTTGCACTGAAGAGCTTTCAAGATTTTCTATATTATTTAGCAATGCCTCAGGGTCTAACGACATAGTGTCGGTACTCTGATCTGCACTGGCGATCTTAGGTTTTTTGTATCTTGATCCTAAAGGGGAACTCTGCCCTTTCTTTTTTCTCTTTCTACTGTCAAAAATACTCTCATCACTAGATTCTGCCGATATTGAATTTGTATCATCCTCGTTGTCATCGCTATCACATACATCCGTGCACTCGCTAAAGCCTTCGGTTCGATCGTCAGAATCAGAGCTGCTACTTACACTGCTTTCAGAGTTGCGTTTACCATGTGACCTCGTTGCGTTGTCCTTGGAACGTTTCTTTAGTTGTTTCTTTTCACGTTGCTTTGTGTGATCACTAACAGTGCTAGTGCTGTCTGTATTATCATCATATCCTGGATCATAGTCGTTATCGGAACCATACTCTCCATTATCACTAAATGGGTCTGGTGTAGATGGCCTTGATGAAGAATCATATTGAAACAACTTCATGGAAGCATTATTACTAATTTGGCGTGATTTTTCCACCTACAACAAAAAACATAGCTATCATCTTATTCAGGACACAAAATTAGAACATATGCGTACATTTGAGATTTTTTTCAGAAAAAAAACTAAAAATATAACTTACGGAATGAGTTTTCCTTGATATCCCACTTGGTCCGGCTTCACATTTTTCTTTGCAACCTACTTCAATTACTTTTTTCTTAGATGGCTTCTTCTGGCCTCTTTTTCTATTTCCCATCTATAAAATTCAAAAATTGCAGCATATATACTATAATGCACTCATAACAACTATCACCATATCCTACAAAACTATAGAAAACGAAAAAATAACTTACGATTACTTTCTCAAATGCACGGCCTGCGAGGGTTTTGTAGCGTAAAACGTGGGTCACTGTACCGGCGCGCAAGCAGACTGGCAGTATGGCGACTCTAACCAAAAACGACGTTTGTCGACGTTGTCCATATGTGTGTAGGTACCTATCAATGTGTGTGTGACTTATGTTCAAGTAAGAAAAAAACTAATGTATTGTAGCGCTAGAACTTTCAAAATTTCACACGATGCGGCGCAATGACGTAGCTACCTAAAGATTATACAGAGATTTGACGTTACTAGCCGTTGTGCTTGGAAATTAAAATTTTCTTAGGACGTGATTAGACTATGTGCGTCATCGCGAAGACATCAAATTGGACGTTCTGTGACGTTGTTAGAACGAAAGTGTTAAAAAAACGAAAAGCATTATTATTACTTATCATCATTCTCTAAGCCATTTCCCATTATCTGGGGTCGGCGCAGTAAATCTTCTTGTTCCATTCCTCTCTATCAGCCGTCATTTCCATACTTACTCCTTTCATTCTCATATCACTCTTCACACAATCGATCCATCTTTTATTCGGCCTTCAATTTTCAATTAAGTATTTAAATACTTAATTGAAAAATGTTTCTACTCAATCAAAGAATACATTGAAGCACTAGTAACAAAACACAAATAACAAATTACATATTTTTAACACAAATAAAATACATAAAAAAGGAAAAAGCCGTTTTGATACACGGTAATATTATGAACAGTATCAGTAGAAGAAAAATTATGTGTTTATGTAAAATGTCACAAATACCTTTGTATTTTGTATGTTTTATTATTGTTCATTTATTAGACTATATTATTGATCATTAATCTAATTTCTTTATAATGTTTGTATTTAATAATTTATTTTATCTATACTTTCTCAAATTTGCAATGCCTAAATAAAGACAAATTGTTATTATTATAAGACCATTTATGTACACTTGGTTGGCAAATAAAAGTTGATTGATTGATTGACTAACATCATGTGTTGTAGTCATATACCACATGAAGCTTTATTATGGTGGTAGTATGAATCAACTCGACTAGGGTAGAATCATACTCTCATTAAATGCCCACGTAAAATAGCAGCCTAATGCTGCTGTGTTTTGTACGATAAGTGTAGACATCTGGAGACTTTTTACTGGAAACAAAGCATTCCATATTAGTTCCATCAAAACAGGTGCATTTCTGACAGTTGACTTAACATCTGACGAAGAATACAAATACATGTTGAATCAACCTGTTATAATGGTCATAGGTGTTATGGGTGCTGCAAAGCACTGAAAATATAGGAAGTTAAAAGTAAGAAATTTAAATGGGATTATATCTGTATAAGTTTTATAAAAACTTGTTTTGCTTTTAGTGGTTTTGTTTCCTTTTATTCTACTGTTAACAAAACTTACTTTATCATCATCATTACAGCCCTTAATAAGTCCATAGCTGAACATTAGCCTCCCCCAAGGAATACCACAAAGCACAGTCCTGAGCCACCAGCATCTATTGACTTCCTGTATATCTTCACAGATTGTCACTCCATCTAGTAGGGGGCTGCTCTGCTGCCGTCGGTTCTTCGAGCTATATTGACGATCCATTGCCACTTCAGATTATTAATCTGCTATGTTATGTAAAAATATAGCCGTATCTAATATCTAAACTGGCGACAAAAAAAGTAGAATGTGAATGCTAATCTGCCAAGTACAATAGTAGATTGTTTACAAGCTGATGTGAAGTCAAACAATTGAACTATTTTATTAATTCAATTGTAATTCTCATTTGTTTATGTTGGATTTTGTTTTATGAATAACTTATATGTGACCATTGAAAAATTAACCCTTAGTGACTAATTGTATCTAAAAAGAACCTTTGCAATACTCACACAATGGAGAAGATAACCATTTTTTGTTTTTTATGCCAAAAAATTCTACAAAAAATTATGAGAATAACTGTGTTTTTAAATTTTTTTTATCTTCAAAACTGACCGAGATATAAAACATTAACATTTTCGATCTAAGCCGCGGGCAGTTCCATCTTCGTGCGAGCGACCCGACGCGCACTTAGAAAATCAAAACATTTACTCGAATGTGCCCGTCGCATGCGGATCTATCTATCTATTTTTAACAAGAAACATTATAGTAGAACATGACACCATCTATTAAATATGGTGCTGTGCCTCAATGTAAAAATACGGCCACAAAAACACCTGAAAAGTTGTTTTTTAATGTGCCTAGAAACCCTACCATCAGAAAAAAATGGACAAATGTTATGAGAAGAGCACATCCTTTAGGACCGAACACGGTAGCATTTTGTTGTGAGGATCATTTCGATGTAAGTATTCAAATAATAATAACCTTCACATGATAGGTCTTGGTTATTGCTATTAGGCATGTAGGTACCTACTCGAGTCGCAGTGTTTAAGGCCGAATACGAAGAGAACTGGCGAAAATTAATGTATTTCTCTTGACTAGAACTTTGACCTGAAGTAATTCTAAGCTTTAAAACATTTTTGTAGCTTTGTTCGGGTCCTTTACAAGGTCACCGTCATTTTAAAAATTTAAAATAAATGAATATACCAACAAATAAAAAAATGTTAAGAAATGATATATAAAATTATTGTTCTTCCAAAACTCTGTGAATTTTAATTTAGGAAAAATTCTTTTAAGTAAAAATGTTTGTATTGTGATTCCGAAGGTACCTGCTATCTTTATTTTCGATACAAAATATTATTTATTAACATAATTCGTTTTAATTAAAAACACCTAATAATAATATCGTATATTGCCAGATAAAAGTTTGCCGTAATAAATTACCAAGCGCTTCGACGTGTGACGTAAGATAACAACAGTCGATGTGTCTGTAGCGAAAATCGTTAATTTATTGTTTTATACGCGTTTAAGTGTCTATAAATGTAAATATGGGTAGGAAAAGAAATAAATGTTACCTAAGTGGTAAAACATAGAGAGTTTATCGCATGAACGCTGCTCGAATGTTGTATTTTGAGGTTAATACTTATATTTTTGTAAGGTAATTTTTTGTTTGAGGCTGCCTAATAAGTTGCATTTTTTACTCATTTACATTAGCCAAACTGATCATTTATACTTTTCTAGTTTCAAGTGAGAAACACTAAAAATGTAAAATATCAAGACCCAGTCGGAAAAGAATGTAAAGAGTCGTGCAAGCACAGAGACCGCAAATAATGTCAGTCAATGTATTGTCCGAAAGCATGGGGTAAAAGTACATAATTAAGAAAAACCGAAATACTTCGGATGTGAAGTGATTGACCAGTCGGAGTAGTCTTGTGAGAATTTACATACACAGTACCTATCTCCACTATGGGGCAATCACCGACTTTTTAATTTTTTTTTATTATTTATGCAATTTGCATTACGGCATCTTGTAAGACTCACAAGAACAAACATTTTCAGTTATATGAGGTTCTTAACGTACGATGCACCAATTAAGAAAAAAAATCGTTATCAATTCAATAACTTTTCGAACAATATTTTATAACGAATAAAGTACAGAATTTATAATCTATAGGAACTAATATTATAAATAAGAAAAATTTATTTAAGAAGTAAGCAATGCTCTCTGTGTTGTTCATTACTCCGCATCTGAGGTAGCTCCGTCAAATATAATCAAAGCCAGTACGGCTTTGATTATAGATATTATACATGTCTATATAAAAAAGCGTAGGTACTGGCGGCGCGTGGTTTGCTGCGAAACGAGCAAGGTCATTCACGTCGTATTCGGCCTTAAGTAACTAACGATTCATTGAACCTTTACACGCTTAATGATCATTATAATTTCAAGAAGAAACAATACCTAATACCTACATATTTAACTAAAACTACTTCAGTGTAAATAAACATCCAAACTTGGGTAAAGTACCTATGTAATGTAGATAAGTCAATGACCTGTCGTGAGTTCGTAAGTTTAGATACCTACCTATGTTTGCAGTAAATTTTAAAATGTTTATAATGCATATAAAGGTTAAAATATGGAATATGTTAACAAACGTTTTTATATTTTTACGATATTTCGAGCAAAAACTAAACACACACGCAGAGCTGTTCAACTTTCATACTTTGCAGGCCGCAAATAATAGAATAAGTTTGATTATGAAGTGGAGCACTTAAATTTTTTTTCGTGTTGTAGTATTTTTATATATATATAGTACATATAGTACATAGTTAATACATATTTTAAATATTGATGGAATAAAAATTACGAGGTTCCTTATTTTTTATAGACTTTAAATAAGTTTGTATTTTGTTCTGGGTCGAAAACGATTTGGAAAACTACGTGAAGTACAAACTAGTTGGTGGTCCCCTCAAACTAAAAAAAGATGTTTTGCCTCACAAGTTTGCTTGTCAAAATCGGTGAGGATATTAGCCACTTAACGACCGTTACATACTTTGAAGCAATTTCTCACTTTTTACATCAAAGTATACTTTGCGCTTTCGTATTTAGCTTAAATATTAGTTTCACAATATATTGCACAGAATATATTGACACAGAAAGCAATTAAGTCACTTAAAACTTGCGACATTACGGTGGTCATTCCTAGGACTGAGTCAAATTCAATTACAAAATTTTTATTGAAAATTGCCAACAAGCCTCGAAAAGTAGATAAATAAT